CCTGAGGTCAGGAGTTCAAGACCAGCCTGACCAACATGGAGAAACCCTGTCTCTACTAAAAATACAAAATTAGCCAGGCATGGTGGCACATGCCTGCAATCCCAGCTACTTGGGAGGCTGAGGCACGAGAATCACTTGAACCCGGGAGGCGGAAGCTGCAGTGAGCTGAGATTGCACCATTGCACTCCAGCCTGGGCAACAAAAGCAAAACTCTGTCTCAAAAAAAAAAAAAAAAAAAATGTACACCAAGAATCCCTACAGAAGGTGAAAAGAGCCTAAGAGGTCATTATTCACAACTTTATGCCAATTAATTTGACATTTTAGAGAAAATGGGCAAATTCCCAACAAAACACAACTTACTGAAACTGACAGAACTAAAAATCAAACAGAAAACCTACACTGTTCTAGAATTAACCTCCAAAAGGCCAAGAACTATAAAGTTCTAGAACTGTATTACCAGTCTTAGACAAACTCTTCTAGAGAATAGAAAACCAAACTATCCAACTTGTTTTTAAGGCAGATACCATTTGGATATCTGTCTCCTCCAAACCTCATGTTGAAATGTGACCCCCAATGTTGGAGGTGAGGCTTAGCGGCAGGTGTTTGGGTCATGGTGGCTGATCTCTGCTCAGTTGTGTGGTGTCCTTCTCACGGTAATGAGTAAGTTCTAGCTCCATTAGTTACCACAAGATCTGATTGGTTTTGTTTATTGTGTGTTTTTGAGACACAGTCTCACTCTGTCACCCAGGGTGGAGTGCAGTGGCGCCTCCCAGTTTCAAACGATTCTCCCGCCTCAGCCACCCAGGAAGCTAGGAATACAGGCATGCACCATCACATCCCGCTAATTTTTGTATATTTAGTAGAGACAGGGTTTCACTATGTTGGCCACGCTGGTCTCGAACTGCTGACCTTAAGTGATCCACCAAACACGGCCAAGATCTCATTGCTAAAAGGAGCCTGGCACCTCCTCCCCTCTCTCTTGCTCCCTCCCCCACACATGATAAGCGGCTTCCCCTTCGCCTTCTGCCATGATTGCAAGCTTTCTGAGGCCCTCACCAGAAGTAGATGCTGGTGCTACACTTCCTGTACAGACTAAAGAACCTCTTTTCTTGATAAATTCCCCAGTCTCAGCCTCCGCCTCCCAGGTTCAAGCGATTCTCCTTCCTCAGCCTCCTGAGTAGCTGGGACTACAGGCACACGCCACCGTGCCCAGCTAACTTTTGTATTTTTATAGAGACAGGATTTCAATATGTTGGCCACGATGGTCTTGATCTCTTGACCTCGTGATCCGCCCACATCAGCCTTCCAAAGTGCTGGGATTACAGGTGTGAGCCACCGCGCCCAGCTGCATACCTCCCTTTTCTAGAAGGAAATGATCTCTTGGAGCAAATACTTGATTATCTTTTATTTTTCAGATTATGACATCTCTTTGCCAGTATCTTTTTCTGGTCAATATACCTTTTTGCCAAACAAGGTAGAAAAAAGTTGAAGGGCCAGGCACAGTGGTTCTAACCTGTAAGCCCAACACTGGGAGGCTGAGACAGGAGGATCATTTGAGCCCAGGAGTTTGAGACCAGCCTGGGAAACAGAGCAAGACTCCATCTCTACAAATTAAAAAAAAAAAAAAAAAGCCAGGCATGGTGGCACATATCTGTTGTCCCAGCTACTCAGGAGGCTGAGGTGAGAGGACTGCTTGAGCCCAAGAATTCAACTTTGCAGTGAGCCATGACTGGCCACTGAATCCCAGCCTGGATGACAGAGCAAGACCCTATCTCAAAAAAAAAAAAAAAAAAAAAAAAAACAAAAAACAAAAAAGTTATCAGCTGGACAATCTTCCCTGTGATTACCAGTAGCATCTAAGAACCTGAAATCATGAGTGTCACTGAAACCAAGCTGTAAGGAAATTCCAACACATTAAAATGAAATCAATTCATACAGGGGCTATAGGACACAGCACCCGGAGGTGACATTAGAAACTGCAAACAGGAAAAATGCATAATTCAGGGGTACTAGCATATGACACGAACACATATCATCAAAAGCATTCACTGTTCTCCCAACGTCCACACACTCAGAAAAACACTGCTACCTGCTCACGTTAGTCTTCTATCTACAGCAAACACCAAGAAAACTCAGTATTCATCAGTTTATTAACATCAACTCCATGCGTTCTCAGAGAGGAGGAAAGACCAGGCAGGAACCTACCCGTGCCCAAAATCAGGTTACCATCAGGATTCAACGGAGAAAGAATTGGGGAATAAACTGAGTCTAGGTTTTTTTGAGTAAATATCCCTCACAAATTTCTGCTCTTAGGCACATAAATTTAGCAACTTTAATTTTTAGGTTGGGGTCTAGTTCCTGTCAACATTAGGAAATGGGAGACAACTACTCCTTTTATCACAGTCAGAAGATCACCTATAGATTGTGATCGTTCAATCATACATGCGAAGATTATTAAAAAATAATAACATTAATATGTATTAAGGCCTTACTAGATGCCAAGTTGCGGCAACCCTCACAACCCTATGAGGTAAATGCCATTATTAATCAGGAGTTACGTTAACTTACCAAACTGTGGAAACTGGGATTCCAAGCATGCTCGTCTAATCACTACGCTAATAATGCTTCAACCTGCCAATCTATTTTTTATTCTGTAAGTCATAAGGAGCCAATGAAAAAAATTAAGGACAGCAGTAATGATCATCTTCACATGCTAGAACACACTGTACTCAGCCATGTGCAAGGTGGACTGACGCTGGGGTGAGCAAGGGTCTTGAAAGAGATAGTCCAAGTCTGGGTCAAAAATGCTGAGGAAATGAGCACAAGAATGCATAGGAGAGGATAAAAACCTAAAATCTGTATCTAATAAACTGGACTTTCTGGTTGTTGTAAGTATGGGAAGGGGTGAAGGAAGCTACCTCGCAGGTTACTAGCTGGGCCACCGGTTAGTTATTACTGTCCATCAATTCATGGCAGACAGAAGGAGGAACTGGTGCTTTAGTTTTGTGTAGCAAGCAGGAAGAGGACAAGTCTACCTAACACGAATCAAAATGAGAGAAAGCAATTCTACAGAATTCCTCTCCCCCGACAAGATAAGCTTCTCATATTACAGATCTTAACTTTGAAATGCTTTTCACAAATAGGGAGTCACTTGGGCTGGGAGGGGACTTCAACCAAGTACTCATCTTACAGATTAGGCACTGAGGAGCAAGGCTGTTTCAATACCCTGTCCAGAGTGCGCACTGTTCAGGCAAAATCAGGACGAAAAACCAGCTCTGCCGGCTCCGTTCTACCTACTGCTCCTCCTGCTTCACCTGCCCTCCCAAACTACTAATAGGGATTTACATCCCCCAAATACGTTCATGTAAACACTTAGCATTCTTCAACTAAAAACAAAATCAGGTATGTACGCTAAAAATCTAAAACCAAAAAGCATATATTTAAATTTCTACTTTTCTTTGGGAAAACTTTCCCATTGTGTCAGAGTTTCTATTCACTATAACATTCTCTATATTTCAGGTACTAAGACCAAAAAACAAAAAATCCTTTTTAAACTCAGGCCTTAAAGAAACGACAAACCCTCTCGGACATTCCACCATATGAAACCACTGACACAGACAAGGCCTGTTCTGCCGAAACCAGGCCAATTAAGTCAGGGCTCAATTGCTTCTGTATTATTGTCAGAAGCCATCTCGACCTCAAGTAAAAGTAAAACTGGAGAAAGAGGCCGGCCTAACTTGCTCCTCAGCTGGTCCCCAGCAACGCCCCTGAAACTCTGCTCCCCATCGCTGCGACCGCCCCTCCGACGCCGGGAGGACACGGAAGGAGCAGCGAGGCGCTGCCCAGCATCTGCCGCCAACTTCCCGGTCGACGGTCTGATTCAAATGCTCCCTACCAGTTTTCCATGTAGACTTGGGCAGAAATGCGCCAGGAAAACTGTTATCCACTGTTACAGGGATGGAGAACTCTGAAATAACCGAATGACTACTTATATTCACTGTCCCATGTCTAGCGCCTTTTGAAACAACCACCAAATCCTGTAAAGTTCTGTCTGCAGGCACTAGGAAAAACTTGTATTCGGGATGGAAAAACTTGTATTCGGGATGAATTCGCCTCCCCCCACCCCATGGAAAAAGACCGGCTTTCCGAGAGCCGAAGCCCCCGCCCGGAGCGACGGACTCGCGGGCCCCGCGTGCGACCCCACCCAGCCTTCCC